AATATACTCACTGCTGTCTATGGTACTTGCACATCTAAGAGGTTGAAGTATACCCTATTTCATAGTATTCTTGTCTATTTAATAAAGTACCATCATCTAATGAGATTTTTCCCTTCTGCGTAGACATCTAGGGATGTTCTTTTAACCCCTTAAGGACACGTGACATGTCATGATTCCCCTTTATTCCAGAAGTTTGGTCCTTAAGGGGTTAATGATGTCCCATATGTTGCCCACACAGGAGCAGTAGTACGTTTAATATAATAACATTAATAAATAGTAATAAAAAACACGCATTTTTGATTGGTATTCTAGATCAGGGATAGGCAACCTTCGGCACTCCAGATGTTGTGGACTACATCCCCCATAACAATCTTACACCCATAATGCTGGCAAAGCATCATGGGAGGTGTAGTCCAAAACATCTGGCGTGCCGAAGGTTGCCTATGCCTGTTCTAGATCAATCATTCTGAACAATACAGCTGCGTATAATGTAGATATTTTGTTGTTTTTGCCTCTTATATTGTTTATTAATATAATTGCTTTATGAATGAATAGATAGTTGGGAGATTTATTTCTAATTTATTTCTGTTCAAGCATGTTTTCACAATTAATTTCATTTGTATATATTTGAACATATACATAGCATAAATGTATTTATGTTCAAATTGTATACTTTCATATTGTCAATCAATTTCTATTAATCACTGATGAAGTAAACAAATGGATTGAAGATTTAAAAACAAAAAAAAAAAAAACACACACTCTCTCTCTGTAATACAATTCTCAGTCATTTGAGCAAAAATGGATCTAGCCACTTGGTGTGAATGATGATCAGAGATGTGGTGACTATGATGTGCGGAAAAAGCAACGTTTCTGGCTGAAACTGGCCTTTCCTCGGGGACTCAAGAGTGCAGTCGATTTTTACATTTCGGACCATTTCAGTGATAAAATTGTGAAAATGTGCTGAGGTTTGAAACTGCTATTTGTCATTACTGAGGATTTTCTGCCCCATTTAGCAGTCAGAAGCTGCTTAGGTCTGCAGTATTCAATAGCTTCCTTTGTTCTGCCCTACCCTCTGGTGGATGTCAAAGCGATCAGATTGGCAGAGATAGTGCCAAGCATTCTATCTGGAGACTACTGATCTGAAGACCCAAAGCAGAGTTTATAGGCCTCGTTTTAGAGTAAACTCTAATTAGTATCTCTTCAGCCATATGGTGATATCTGATAACATGTAGCCAGTTGTCTGTAGTCCAGCAACATTGCAACCCTGCCTTATTCAACATCAAACAGGTTATTTAAACAATGTCAGGCTTTGATATTTTGTAAATGAATCCAATAGCCTCAGTGCTAATTATTCTATCAATCTACACAACATATTGGATGATATGCACTTAGGTAAAAGTGAAGCAAATGTGTGTCAAAGTCCATTAAAACCCATGTTTCTGCTAAGTGTGCTACTTTCAGAACATTGTCCTGCAATTGTTTATTTTGGAAAATATGGTTTGATGTGTGAAAATCCTTTGAATGAAATGCAATAGTTGGTAGATTCTCTCAAATGTGCTTCACTACAATTTAAAAAAAATAAAAAAAATTAAAAAAAAATAATCATTAAAGCAATAACCATTGATTTAAATAATACTGTTTCCATAGGATTTCTTAAATCTATTTTAAAAAAAGATTAATGATGCACAAATTGTGCTACCGTCCCTCCATTTAATACCAGAAAACATTGCATGCTGGGATAAAAACTTAGATTTTCAGGTCACCACAATGTCTCTTACTCTGTCAGGGATAAATCAAGCAGGTTTATTCAGTAAAGTGGGAAATGTTGCGAATTCAAATTTCATTATACATTTTAGACAAATTAGGGGAGGTGGGGGGAGGAATCTGAAGAGTGATTTATGTTTTTAGGTCAGCTATTTGAGCTTAAATGTATTTATTTCCAATTCCCAACAATTCTCAGTTTTATGTAAACCTGGACAAAGTATTGTGATGGTGTGATCAGTGCTGTTGAGTTGCAGTTTAGTGTCTTGTGGAAGTACTGGTGCCACATGAACACCAACGTTCTAACTCAGGCTTCTCCAAACTCTGGCCCTCCAGATCAAGTCCCATGATTCTCAGCCTATTTAATTCATAGAATCATGGGAGTTGTAGTCCAGCAACATCTGTATGGCCGGAATTTGGGAAGCCTGTAAATCTAACAGGTCCTACAGATTCTCCCTTATGCTGGCTGCTACTTAATACTTACATTGTTTCAACGTCCATGTAAAGATACAGTATAGCATTGTCTGGACTGACAATGAATTTACCCATCACCTTCCACTTAACGTCCTGTAGTGGTTAAGGTGTTGACAGTGCTCCTTTAAAGAGTTCATTTGAAATCCCCTGGTGCAGCACAGATGAGTCCACTGTATGTATACCCTAAACGCTTTCCCTATTGCCTGAGGACAGTAAGCTACAGAATAAAACTCTTTATGCATTAAAATATTGGCATCGGCATGGGTAGCATATGCGTTGCTCAGGCTCCACAGCACTTGACACTATAATGACTGAAACTGGTTACACCGATTATTTAATATGTCATTATGCATGACACGTCAAACCACCAGTGGACTGACTGGAGCTTTTTTTAAAGAAAAGAAAAAAAAAAAAAAAAAACCTGAGGCCCACACATCAGTAATACCTTACTACAAAATGACTTGTATGGGGTTATTTGCTAAATGGGAAATTGTGACAAGTCAAGAAGGGAATTGTTAGTGTAGGCCATAATACAGTTAGAAAACAGCAAAATTTAATAATTTTACCGACTGGGCTACTTTAGGTCTAACACATGCAGTTCCCCTATTAATTAACCACACCTCCAATTTTAGGGAGTAAAATTCATTATGTACATTAAACAATATCATGGCTAGTCCTGTAGTTAGACTTTAATTGGTGTATTTAATAAACAGTGGATAAATAAGTTGCATATATTCTCTAGCTCGGGTACTTTAATCTATATATCACAAGTCACTTTTTAGGAAATACCATACCCCCACAAAATCAAATGGAGGGGGTGGGGGAGGGGGGTTACCAGAGTTTGCGAAGTTTGGACAGTCAAATGGTATTTGATTTAGTACTAGTGATACGATGCCCCACTACATGCTCTGTTCCAATATATACTACATTTTCACAGGCTGACACTCAGCGACGTGCTATTTTAGGATTGTTGCTGGAAAAAAAACAAAACCAATTTGATTATGATAACGTAAAATTCCTGGCATTTCATTCTCACCAGAAACCCATAAGATGTGAGTAAATTGGATTTGATGCAAGGGCCATAACACATAGTATAACTGATTGCAGCATTAACCCTGTAACACTTGGGAAATGTACTCCATAAAGTTTGAACCATAAGATACAGTATTTTTTTTTTTCTTCACTGGGCCTCCAAAGTAGGAATACTTGGGAATCTGCCACAACGTATTAGTCATTTCTCGGAAGTTTAAGGATTTCCAAGGTGATGTAATCACCAGTACAGATGGGGATAGGCTATGTTTTATTAAAATTGCCATTTCTCAGAGTGTGCATATTGTAAGCTAGATTTCACCCTTCACATTAGAGAGCAAAAAAAAAAAAAAAAGCTTATATTATAAAATGTGGATCTTGGCAACATTGTATTAGTTTTAACCCTTAATTTAATCCCTAACGCATAGGCAAGTGAAGGAGTAAACATTTCTCAACTGCAAGAGTGCCCGAACCTCCACATCCTGGCTCTTTTAAGCTGCAAGCAATGATTTTAATGCCTGGACATGGATACATGTAGGATTATACTAGTTTGTCGCATAGACAACAAGAGTATATTAAAAGTAGCAGTTGTAGAATGGGGATCCCATAGTTTGGAACATCTTGGTAGTGTTTGTTGCCTTGCACCTTTTATTTTATTCTTGCCATTTATATAGTGCCAGATTCCATAGTGCTCCAACAATATTATGAGAGGGGGGATTGAACTATAAATAGGACAATTGCAAGAAAATTTACAGGAACCATAGGTTGAAGAGGGCCCTGCTCAAACGAGCTTACAGTCTATAAGAGGTGGGGTGTAAAACAATAGGACAGGAGATAGCAATCAAATAAGGTGAGGGTGAAGCAGAACTAGAGGAGAGAGTAGAGTGCTGCCCTTAAGGACAGAGCAAGAGACAGATTTGTGAGGTAGAGGTTAGCCTAGGAGGCCATAAGCTTTCCTAAAGAGGGTTTTAAGACACTTAGATGATTGAATACTAATTGAGAGGCTGATGGCGGTGGGCAGGCTATTCCATAGGAAGGAAGCCAAGCGTGAGTTGGCCGTACTGGTGCGAGCAGTGGACAGGAGAAGGTCATGGGCAGGGCAGAGCAGAGACCAAGAAGGGGCATACATGCTTAAATGAAATTTGCTACATTAGCTCTATACTGCATAATCAACTGTACATGTGTAGTGCCCATGGGTGAACAAAGTTTGCGTACTCGTCATCTTGTATCAGACCATGTCCTCTTTAAAAGGGACACCAAAGAGGTTGTGTGTTAACTTCACTATTAATGGCAAGAGATCTAACCGGTACTAAATAAATCTGCCTAAGCTACTGGATGTGTTGATACATGTTTTGAGCAGTCATCTTACCTTGATCCAGGATGCCACACCCACTGCGCTTTTCCTTTAAAAAAAAAAAAAATACAGACAGCTATAACTTGCACTCCCCTTTTTTTTTTAAGTGAGAAAGTGCGCTGAACCTTGAACTAATGGTTTTGCCTACAATTCTTGGAACTTTTACATCTTTTCCCCAAATGTGAGTGTTCTAGACAGAATGCCAAATTAGAACGGTTTCATACACAAATTGTAGGCCAATATAGCTTAATTTGAATTTGTTTTTCCCCAGCATCCTATAACATGTCTAGTTATGTTTCAGTTTTATTTATACATTCCCTATAGCAATTATACAAGTTGAAAAATTCAGATATACAACAGACAGGAAAGGATTTAAGCTTTTTTTTTTATTATTTTTCTGAAGCTTATTTCAAACAGCTTGCTGTGTCAAACGCTATCGCAGTCTGGCCTCTTCCCATGATGAATAGGACAAGCTAACAAGCCTTGTAATAAACAATGATGAATTTTCAGACTACCAGCATGTTATAATATCATTAAAAGAATCATTATAGAAACCGCAAATCCAAATGGAAACCGATTCCTTACTGTCAGAAAGACCTTCAAAACTTCCACTAAGAATTCAAAACAGAAGGGAATGGGCAATTTTTGCAATGTATTTTTTTTACATTATTAAGTCACATGTTGGTCAGCTTTGCCTTCATCAGGTTTTCAGAATTTGAGATGACAGATCAAATACAGGAATAGCAAACAACTTTTGATAATATAAATGTACTTAAATATAAGAAAACCACAAACATTTGTAATAAATGCGGCATGGCAGGAAACAGACGTGTGCTAATCTGCCCTTTTTCCCCCCGCCATTCTGGTTAGAGAATTGAATATTAATAGAGTAATCTTCTATAAAGATCTCAATAAGGATATTATACACATCAGCAATAGATTATAGAAGCTATTTTAGAACAAAACTTCAGTATCGTTTGTAAGAAAAATAAACGTCTTAAATACAAATATTCTGTAAAACAATTTAAAAAAAAAAAAATCCACCCCTCCCCCACCCCAAGCAGAGAAAAAAAAAAAAGTTCTATCCCGTATTCCCATTTCAAAATTAATGAGGCAGTTTTAAGGTGCTGGCAAAATCTGAAGAGACCATGCCAAGGTTGTGTAGTTTTGAATCATGTGCATGCAATTATGTCCAGTCAAGTAGTTCAGAGGTCTTTTGTTGAGACCACCTTATATTTAATGGTCACAGTTTTAATAAGTCTTATGCTCCCGTTAAGGTTTACATATTCAAGTTCCTTAGCTGTTGAAGTCTGTGTTTTAATTGTTCTTTTTTTAATTTCAACTGTTCTGCCTCTCGTAGTAGCCGTCGCTCATCTTCCTGCATAGAAATTACATATTCTGTTGCTTTTTTGAGGATGACTACTTTGGGGGCCTTCTCGTTGTTTGCTACCTCTGGTACCTGATCACGAAGGGCAAAGAAACTTAACTTTAGCTCGTTTCTCCTCTGACGTTCGAGAACATTATGTGTCTTTCTCTTGTCATTCTCCTCAGAGTCTGACGACCTGGGACTCGAGCACTTGCGGTTGTTGCTGATCTGTTTAAGAACTCTGGTGTTGCTGTCCAACTTTGCCCTTTTGGAAGATGGGTAGTCCATTTTTGTGGAGGGAGGGGCAGCGTAGTTGTGTTGGTGGGTAGATACATGACATCGCTTTAAGACTAGAGGACTGTGGTGAGGTCTAGATTGTAAAGAGTAAGTGTTTGATTCATTTTTCTTCGTTGCACTTTGTCTTTTTTCAACTGTGACAACGTCAATCTCTTCTTCATCCTCTTCCTCCTCATCTTCATCCTCGTCTTGCTCTTCCTCATATTCATCATCATCTTGTTCCTCTTCTGTCAGAGAAAGAAAGAAAGGGGAAAAAAGTTTTAGATACAGTACAAGTCAGTTCTCTTGTATAATAATTTTTATTTTATTTTTAAATTCTAGGTTTGTAGTAACACAGGTCTTGTATAAGAAGTTACTCCTGAAACTATTTATTAAAATGTCACATTATGGAAAACAGCAAAAAAAAAAAAAAAAAATACAATTCAACACTTATTATGCAATGAAGTTGCTGAAAAGTTACGCCCTTGGCTGCAACCTTAGCAAGCGTCTCATTCATAGAAAGCATGTCTGCTGTCCCTTGCCATTCACTCCGGGTATAGGAGCCACACCCACTACTGCAATGCTGCAAATCTTGCTTCTTAAATCTAACGCTGCACTTTCTCATGGAATTGTTGGACTCCTCCCTCCCTCACTGACAGATCATAAAAAAAAAAAAGTTGCCAAGATTAGCGCATGCACACAAAAGATCCCCAGGCACACAGCTTGAGAATTCTAACAAGTCTTTAGAAAATTGGATAAGTACCCTTAAAGAGCACTTTGTTCCAGCACTGAAAGTTACTGCAGTCGTCTTACACATGCATGACCTCTCAGTCTATAGAGCACAATATACAGCTGTTTCTTAAATTGCAGTCTAACAGTGTTCGAGACCACCCTTGATGAAAGGCTTATTACCTGATTCACTGCTGTTGCTGTTACTGCTTATTGGTGGGGTGTCCAGGATGATATCTAGGCAGCTAGAGTTGGCTTTGGAAATGGTGTCATTCAGTGGGTAGGGAAAAACCACAGACGGATCTATGCAATCAGAACTGGGGTCCTGCAAGTAGTCTTGACTAACCCTATTGGTTCCACTGAGGTTTAGGTTTCCTGAACAGGATTGTGTCTTCTGAGGGCTTTGCTGCTGCGGGCTTTGGGATTGAGAAGACGTGGAGTTCTCCTTCCTAGAAGCCTGGTAGGAAGCAAGCTTTTCAGACACCACCTTCTCCAGCCTAGCAGCTGCTGAGAAACCACTCCACATGCAGTCCTGAATGATTATAGACTTCACAAATGCCTCGTCGTCCGGCTCACAGATAAAACTCTGATTGACCATATCCCCTCCCAGGAACTCTGTGACCATCTCCAGCTGATCAGCTGTGGATGGGAAAAGGCTGGATAGACTCGATCGACGGCTGGGGGACAGGGGTGGAGTGGGTAATAGCTCAAACTTCTTCCAGATGTCCTCACTGGGAGCTGGAGGCTGCAGTCTGTTGTGCTGCTGATAGAAGTTCTCATCTTCATCAAAGTAAAAAAATGGTTGAATGGAGTCATACTCATAGTCGTAGTTCCGACTTGGATAATTTGTGGTTTGCGGCATTTTGAGCTCCTCACAGAAAATCTGCAAGTAAAAACAGTGGGTATATTAGTTAGATTTCTGTGGGTATTTGAACAGAGATAGCCATTGTTACATTAGCATTCTAAAAGCTACCAGATCCATGCAACAGAAAAAAACAAATGGTTAAAATAACTTGCACACAATAGTAAAAAGCTTCCATTTACTATTCATGTGCCATAGGTTTTGGAAATGTGTTTATGCAAGACCCATTAAGATTTGTCAAGCAGCTGCTCTTAACAGCTGACGGCATAAGTTAAGTCAGTTTTTCATTTGCATAGTCAGAGTTCTAACAGAGGAACTAAGAATTACACTGTAATTTCAAACAGAGGGAATATTTAACCAAACCCTTTAACACAATAGGCAACAGCACAGCAGAAAATCTCAAACCAAGTTTTGATGGGACAAATAAATAAAAATTAAATGTTTTCACACAAGTCACTAATGAATCCATTACAATAGGAAGGAGTACATTCCCAGCATATGAAGAACTTTCCCTTAACACAAAGAGCTGAGTGTGACATAACTTCCAGGCAGAGCCCTCCCAGGAAAATGCCGGCTGCACAGAATGGGAGGGGGCTGCAGGTCTCAGCATACTAGAGGGGATGTGGCAGCTGCCGGCTCTTATTCCTGGAAAGGCACTTTAAATTGGGCTGCAGGTTCCAGCAAGGCTTCTACTACAAGCAGACATGGCATGGTCTGCCTCACCCAGGCACAGCAAGAGAGCACACGGGCAGACAGCACCAGGGAAGCAAGGCATGGACTGCACTCACAGCACAATGCAGCCCTCATTTAAATGCCCAGCCAGTGCACTAGCTCTGTGGGACTAAAAGCAGCGACAATAACCAGAAAGATTACACTATGCAGACAGTATTCAGATAACCAGCTCTGCCATCTAACACAAAAAGAAACCCCCCTATTACAGCCCCTTACACACAGATCTCACAGTCTGCAACAGACAGCAGCAGCCACTGACAGCAGTAAAACATGCAGCCCCCTATACCACCACCAGCTATCTGCAGACATTAGACTTGTACCAGTTATACTGTGCAGCCAGCTCCTCACTGTCAGCACCCCCAGATCCATGTGCCTCCTAATCCCCACTGACAGCAAGTCCAAACTCAGACAAATGCCTTATACCCAGCTCCCCTGATTCCTGTCCATCCCTGACAGCTTACTGTGCCCCTTACCTCCTGACAGCTCTTCTCCCTGTGCCTCCTGACAGCTCTTTGCTCTCCCCTACCCTTTGACAGCCACCCCCCTCCCCCAGCCAGACACTGCTGGTCCTGTCCCCCCAAATCAGACACTGCTGGTCCTGTGCCCCCAAATCGACACTGCTGGTCCTGTGCCCCCAAATCAGTCATTGCTGGTCCTGTGCCCCCTCCCCAGTCAGTCAGACACTGCTGGTCCTGTGCCCCCCCAGTCATTGCTGGTCCTGTGCCCCCCTGTCAGTCAGACAGTCATTGCTGGTCCTGTGCCCCCCCTGTCAGACAGTCATTGCTGGTCCTGTTGGAGGGGGTGTTTGCCAGCTTCCCCAGACCCATGCCATCCAGTAATCCACGCAGTAATCCCGGGCAGAGCTCAGTAGGACCCGGCGGCCCCGGACACATCCTCCAGCCAGCCCCCCAGCCAGGCAGGCAGCCCCCCCTCCCCGGTGCCAGGCGGGCAGAGACGGGCGGCTTACCCTGCAATGCCGGACACACACAGCGCACGGAGGAGCCCTTAGTAAATCCCAGGCTGCGGCGGTAATAATAATCCAGTAATGAGACCCTCTCTCACTCGCTCCCGCTGTCTGTATCACCTCCTGCTCCCCCACTGCTCCCGGCACACACTCCCCGCACGGGGAGCTCACCCACCTTATATACCGCCCCGGACAGCGTTCCCGCCAAACTAGAGCCATAACCACGCCCATCAACACGCCCACTGACAGAACATTGGTGGGAAGAGCCGGTGGGCGGGTCCTTCCTCACTGTGTGTGAGACTGATAGTAGCTTTAACTCATTCATCCCGAACCGGCAGCGGGAAAAGGCTGAGACTGCTCACTAGCACTCACTGACATCATAATAAAATAATAATAATAATAAAATAGTACTAGCACTAACTGACATCATAATAAAATAATAATAATAATAATAAAATAGTACTAGCACTCACTGACATCATAATAAAATAATAATAATAATAATAAAATAGTACTAGCACTCACTGACATCATAATAAAATAATAATAATAATAATAAATAAAATAATACTAGCACTCACTGACATCATAATAAAATAATAATAATAAATAAAATAATACTAGCACTCACTGACATCATAATAAAATAATAATAATAATAAAATAATACTAGCACTCACTGACATCATAATAAAATAATAATAATAATAATAATAAAATAATACTAGCACTCACTGACATCATAATACAATAATAATAATAATAATAAAATAATACTAGCACTCACTGACATCATAATAAAATAATAATAATAATAATACTAGCACTGACTGACTGAGGGATGGATAATAATAATAATACTAGCACTCACTGACTGAGGGAGGGAGGGATAATAATACTAGCACTCACTGACTGAGGGAGGGATAATAATAATAATAGCACTCACTGACTGACTGAGGGATAATAATAATAAAAAAATAATACTAGCACTCACTGACTGACTGAGGGAGGGATAATAATACTAGCACTCACTGACTGACTGACTGAGGGAGGGATAATAATACTAGCACTCACTGACTGACTGAGGGAGGGATAATAATAATAATACTAGCACTGACTGACTGAGGGATGGATAATAATAATAATAATAATAATAATACTAGCACTGACTGACTGAGGGATGGATAATAATAATAATAATAATACTAGCACTCACTGACTGAGGGAGGGAGGGATAATAATACTAGCACTCACTGACTGAGGGAGGGATAATAATAATAATAGCACTCACTGACTGACTGAGGGATAATAATAAAAAAATAATACTAGCACTCACTGACTGACTGAGGGAGGGATAATAATACTAGCACTCACTGACTGACTGAGGGAGGGATAATAATACTAGCACTCACTGACTGACTGAGGGAGGGATAATAATAATAATACTAGCACTCACTGACTGAGGGATAATAATACTAGCACTCACTGACTGACTGAGGGATAATAATACTAGCACTCACTGACTGACTGAGGGAGGGATAATAATAAATAATACTAGCACTCACTGACTGACTGACTGACTGATGGATAATAATACTAGCACTCACTGACGGAGAGATAATAAATAATATTACAGTATTACTAGCACTCACAGACTGAGGGTTAATAATAATAAATAATAAATAATAATACTAGCACTCACTGACTGACGGATAATTAATAATATCACAGTATTACTAGCACTCACTGACCTCATAATAAAATAATAATAATAAATACTAGCACTCACTGTCTGACTGAGTGATAATAAATAATAATAATAATACTACCACTCACTGACTGACTGAGGGATAATAATAATAAAAAATAATAATACTAGCACTCACTGACTGACTGACTGAGGGATAATAATATCACAGTATTACTAGCACTCACTGACTGAGGGATAATAAAATAATAATAATAATAATACTACCACTCACTGACTGACTGAGGGAGGGATAATAATAATAATAATAATAATAATAATACTAGCACTGACTGACTGAGGGATGGATAATAATAATAATAATAATAATAATAATAATAATAATACTAGCACTCACTGACTGAGGGAGGGAGGGATAATAATACTAGCACTCACTGACTGAGGGAGGGATAATAATAATAATAGCACTCACTGACTGACTGAGGGATAATAATAAAAAAATAATACTAGCACTCACTGACTGACTGACTGAGGGAGGGATAATAATACTCGCACTCACTGACTGAGGGAGGGATAATAATAATACTAGCACTCACTGACTGACTGAGGGATAATAATACTAGCACTCACTGACTGAGGGATAATAATAATACTAGCACTCACTGACTGAGGGATAATAATAATACTAGCACTCACTGACTGAGGGATAATAATAATACTAGCACTCACTGACTGAGGGATAATAATAATACTAGCACTCACTGACTGACTGAGGGAGGGATAATAATAATAATACTAGCACTCACTGACTGACTGAGGGATAATAATAATACTAGCACTCACTGACTGAGGGAGGGATAATAATAAATAATACTAGCACTCACTGACTGACTGATGGATAATAATACTAGCACTCACTGACTGACTGAGAGATAATAAATAATATTACAGTATTACTAGCACTCACAGACTGAGGGTTAATAATAATAAATAATACTAGCACTCACTGACTGACGGATAATTAATAATATCACAGTATTACTAGCACTCACTGACCTCATAATAAAATAATAAATACTAGCACTCACTGTCTGACTGAGTGATAATAAATAATAATAATAATAATAACACTAGCACTGAGTGAGGGACATAACACCACTAGCACTGAGTGAGGGACATAACACCACTAGCACTGACTGAGGGACACAACACCACTAGCACTGACTGAGGGACACAACACCACTAGCACTGACTGAGGGACACAACACCACTAGCACTGACTGAGGGACACAACACCACTAGCACTGACTGAGGGACACAACACCACTAGCACTGACTGAGGGACACAACAACACTAGCACTGACTGAGGGACACAACAACACTAGCACTGACTGAGGGACACAACAACACTAGCACTGACTGAGGGACACAACAACACTAGCACTGACTGAGGGACACAACACCACTAGCACTGACTGGGGACACAACACACTAGCACTGACTAGCACTGACTGGGGACACAACAACACTAGCACTGACTGAGGGACACAGCACTGACTGAGGGACACAACACCACTAGCACTGACTGAGGGACACAACAACACTAGCACTGACTGAGGGACACAACAACACTAGCACTGACTGAGGGACACAACAACACTAGCACTGACTGAGGGACACAACAACACCAGCACTGACTGAGGGACACAACAACACTAGCACTGACTGAGGGACACAACAACACTAGCACTGACTGAGGGACACAACAACACTAGCACTGACTGAGGGACACAACAACACTAGCACTGACTGAGGGACACAACAACACTAGCACTGACTGAGGGACACAACAACACTAGCACTGACTGAGGGACACAACAACACTAGCACTGACTGAGGGACACAACAACACTAGCACTGAGTGAGGGACACAATAACACTAGCACTGAGTGAGGGACACAACAACACTAGCACTGAGTGAGGGACACAACACTAGCACTGAGTAAGGGACATAACACTAGCACTGAGTGAGGGACATAACACTAGCACTGAGTGAGGAAAATAATAACAATAACAACAACAACAACACTAGCACTCACTGACTGAGGGACTGATACTACTACTACTACTACTACTACTACTAATAATAATAATACTATCACAGATTATTACTAGCACTGACAGAGAAATAGTACTATCACTGACAGAATAATACCAATATTACTACTACTACTACTACTACTAATAATACTACTATCACAGAGTAATAATAATACTAACACTGACAGAGTAATAGTAATACTAACACTGACAGAGTAATAGTAATACTAACACTGACAGAGTAATAGTAATACTAACACTGACAGAGTAATAGTAATAATACAATCACAGAGTAATAGTAATAATACAATCACAGAGTAATAGTAATAATACAATCACAGAGTAATAGTAATAATACAATCACAAAGTAATAGTAATAATACAATCACAGACAGAGTAATAATAATACAATCACAGACAGAGTAATAATAATACAATCACAGACAGTAATAATAATACAATCACAGACAGAGTAATAATAATACTATCACAGAGTAATAATAATACTATCACAGACAGAGTAATAATAATACCACCAGTGGCAGAGATAATACTACCAGAGTATTACTACCAGTGAGAGGTAATAATAATACCAGAGTATTACTAGAGTAATAATACTATCACTGACAGAGTAATAATAATACCACCAGTGGCAGAGATAATACTACCAGAGTATTACTACCAGTGAGAGATAATAGTAATAATAATACCAGAGTATTACTACCAGTGAGAGAAATAATACTATCACTGACAGAGTAATAATAATAATAATAATAATAATAATACCTCCAGTGAGAGATAATAATACCAGAGTATTACTACCAGTGACAGAAATAATGCTATCACTGACAGAAATAATAATGCTATCACTGACAGAAATAATAATACTGACAGTAATAATGCTATCACTGACAGGGTAACAATACTATCACTGACAGGGTAACAATACTAATAATAATACTAATACTAATAATAATACTAATAATACTACCACCAGTGACAGAGTAATAATACTAATACCACCAGTGACAGATAATACTACCAGTGAGATAATAGTAATAATAATATCAGAGTATTACTACCAGTGACAGAAATAATACTATCACTAACAGAGTAATACTAATAATAATACTATCACTGACAGAAATAATACTAGCACTGAGCGGAAATAATACTAGCACTGACAGTAATAATATTACTATCACTGACAGAATAATACTAATACTAATACCACTGAGTAATAATAATACTATCACTGACCGAATAATAATACTAATACCAATACCACTGAGAGTAATAAAAATACGAATACTATCACTGACCGAGTAATAATAATAATAATAATAATAATAATAATAATAT